CAGTTGTTGTCCAGGCCCGGGCCCAGATTTAACCCTGCTGTGGACGAATTGGGTTGGCTTTGTTCGGTTTTCATTCCAGGGGTTAGACCCGCTAATTCTGTTGCTCCAATTCGCAACCTTTGCCCACCGTTTTGTATTATCTCTTTTGGTCTAACCTCACCTTCTTCCCGATCCATATACTCCGATGACCCATCTGTTCCAGTCCCCCTGGCCATTACCTCTCCTCCCTCCTCCTTTCACAGTCAGTGCTCAGATCTAACCAGCCCGCCTTCATCCCCCGGTTCGCATTTCGCGTTGAGTTCCAGCTTCGGGGATTTTGATTTTCCTTCCCCCTCGTGCGTTCCGGACAGTCAAGCTAGGGTGGGAAGTCAAGACGATTTCCCCTTTGACGCAGCAACTCTCGTGGCCACCAGCATTGAATTGAGCAGTTTATTCAAGATTGAAATGGAGGGTGGAGCGGATAATGTGGTGAAATTGATAGAGAATACCGCCAGGGAAATGCATCAGAGAAAAGTGCGCCAACCCAGGTCCAAACTTGAAATGGAAAGACACAGACTAGGATTGATTGAGGTGCCAGTTTCAGGTGATCGCAGGAGCCGCAGAAGGGGTGGGGATGAACATGCTGAACCAGTATAATGGAGTGCTCTGTGATTGTGTGGAATGTAAGGGGGTTGGGGGATAGTGCGAAAAGGTCCAGGATTAAGCGCGTACTGTGTTTGAGGAAACCGAAGATCGTTGGACTCGTTGAGACCAAGTGGAATGTTTGCAATGATGAGCTGATCAGGAGCATCAGCGGAAACAGGGACAGTGGTTGGGCAGCAAAAAATGCGGAGAATAGCGCAGGTGGGATAGCTGTTTACTGGGACAAGGAAGTTGTGAGAGCTCTCGCGTATAGGGAGGGGAGATTCCATTTGTCTGTCGATCTTCAGGAGGTGAACACACTAAAAGTTTGGACTCTCTCTGTCGTGTATGGGCCTCAAGAGAGGGAAGCTAAACTGGAGTTCATCAACGAAATTCACTCCTTGTGTCTGAGCGCGGCCAACCCCCTTTGTATTGCAGGTGACTTCAACCTTGTTAGAGGCCACGAGGATTACAGGGGTGGGAGGCGGTGCACGATGTTGATGGAAAAATTCAACGATGTGATCGATAATAACCAGCTTTTAGAACTACCTCTCGGAGGCTGTAACTTTACGTGGGGAAGAGGGGACGGTTCGGGGTCCCTCTCGCGTATTGACAGAGTTTTTATTAATGCGACTTTTGATGCTTTGTATCCTGATTGCACTTTGACGGCTATGGAAAGGGTTGAATCGGATCATAATCCCTTGTTGATCAAATGGGGTGCTACGCTTAGGGTCCGAAGGCCATGGAGGTTTCTGAACATGTGGCTGGAGGACCCGAGATTCTTTGAGGGTCTCGAAATGTGGATGAGGAGCACGGTGAGTGGGCACGGTAAAGCTTTCCTGTGGGTTAAGAGGCTTCAGAATCTGAAACAGACCATCAGAATATGGAATAAAGAGGTTTTTGGCAATATCAATTCGAAGATCGAGGAGTCTCTTGGTCTTATCAAGGGGCTGGACATGGTGGAGGAATCTCGTTCACTTACAGATGCGGAACAAGCAGACAGGCAGGATTTGAGAGCTGTTTTGAGCAGGCTCTTTTTCCTCCAAGAGATTCATTGGAGACAGTTGTCTAAAGAATTGTGGCTGAAGGGAGGAGATAACAATACTAGCTTCTTCCACAGGGTTGCTAATTATAAAAGAAAGCTCAATTTGATCGATTGCATCAACATCAATGGAGTTAGGCATGAAGGGAGGGAGCTTCTCGGCAGAGGCATAGTGGGGTATTACCAGAATTTGTTCAAGGATACTGTTTCGAGGCGTCCTTTTCCGAGGTCGCACACCGATAGGAGAATTGATGCCGCTGATATTGCGGCCTTGACCTGTGCTTTTTCGGAAAAGGAGGTTTGGGTCAGCTTGGCGGACTGCGACGGGGGGAAAGCCCCCGGGCCGGACGGGTTTTCCTGGGAGTTCTACAAAAAGGCTTGGTCTCTCATCCGGGAGGAGTTCTTGAACGCCATTGCTGAATTTTTCAATACTGGTGTTCTGCCGGAGTGTGCTACACACTCATTTCTTTGTCTCCTGCCGAAGCGTGATGCCGTGGAGGACATCAAGGATCTCCGCCCTATTAGCCTGATGAGCAGCTTGAATAAAATTATTAGCAAGGTGCTGGCCCGTCGTCTCAGCAATGTTCTTCCCAAGATTGTGTCTCAGAACCAGCATGCTTCGGTTAGAGGAAGGCAGATCTCTGAGGCTGGTCTTATTGCTTTCGAACTGCTGGACAGCCGCAGGAAGAGTCGCAAGCCGGGACTTATGTTTAAGCTGGATATCGAAAAGGCATTTGACAACGTGAGCTGGGACTGCTTGTTTAAGACTATGTCATCTATCGGTTCCCGGCACAGTGGAATAAATGGATCAAAGGTACTATGTGTTCCCCGGTCATATCCACCTTGATCAACGGCGAGTCGAAGGGGTACTTCAAGCCGCAGAAGGGGTTGCGTCAGGGTGATTCGCTCTCTCCCGGTTTGTTCACTCTCATTATGGACATTCTTTCCTTCATGTTGAACAAATTGCAGGAGGAGGGGAAGATTAGAGGCTTTTGTATGGACGAAGTAAATGGCAATGGTGAGGTTACACATCTTCTGTTCGCCGATGACACTTTGATCTTCTGCGACGCTGCTTATGATCAAGTTCTGAATATTCTCGCTACTTTGGTGTGTTTCCAAAGTGTTACGGGACTGAGGATTAACCTTGAGAAGTCGGTCATGATTACTGTTGGGGATGTAGCGATTCCGGAATTCTTTGCTGCTACTTTTGGGTGTAATTGGAGCAACGAGCCCTCGAAATACCTTGGCTTCCCTCTCGGCGCCAAGGTCAATGCTATCTCCACTTGGGATCCTATTATCAATAAGTTTGAGCAGAGGCTTGACGGATGGAAGAGTAGATTTCTGTCTTTCGGTGGCCGTTTGGTGTTGAACAAAAGTACTCTTTCCGGGCAGCCGATTTATTTCTTCTCCTTACTTCGGGCTCCTATCGGTGTGCTGAACAGGTTTGAGGCAATCCAAAGAAGATTTTTGTGGAGCGGTGCCGGGGATAATCACAAGACCCCGCTCATTAAGTGGGAGATTTGCAAAGCAAGTATTGAGAATGGGGGCTTGGGTATTAGAGATATGGCCTGCTTTAACAAAGCTATGCTGTCTAAATGGCTTTGGAAGTACGCTACGGAGAGAGAGAGCTGGTGGAGACAACTCATAGAGTTCAAATACAAGGCTAGCAATTCCCAGTGGCAGAGCAAACAGTGCAGGAATGGGTTTGGAAGTTCGGTGTGGGCCAACATCTCTAAGGAATACGGTGAATTCTGGAAAGTGGCAGTTATTGACCCGGGTGGCGGGGCGGGTGTTTCCTTTTGGAACGACTGCTGGTTACCTCAGACGACTCTTGCGCATTCCTTCCCGAGAGTTGCCGCTGCCGCTGCGAATCCCGAGGCTTTGCTGCCTGATGTCATAAGCCGATCAGGTGAGGGTCCTAATTGGAATATTGAGTGGAATATCGATTTTTCTTTAGTCTTGAGGGGAGGGGCTGAGAGGGAGAGAGAGAGTTTCTTCACTCTTTTGAATTCTATTGATAAGCACAGGATCGTTTGCGGCCCCAGCAGATTGGCGTGGTGTTCTAATCCCGATTCGAGCTTTTCAGTGCGCTCCATGTACAGGTTATTGACGGATGGGCGATTCCATGGGGTGCCCAACTTCCCTAGTGAATCCGTGTGGAGAAAGAGCATTCCTTCGAAAATCAATGCGTTCATGTGGATGGTCGCGCACAAGAGGATATTGACGATGGACAAAATTCAACAGAGGGGCTGCTCCATTGCTAACAGATGTTGTATGTGTTGTAGGGATGAAGAATCGGTTGATCATTTGTTTACTCGGTGCGAGTTCGGGTTGGAGATCTGGACTGAAGTAAGAAGAATGTGTGGTGATTCCTTCGCCCCACAAGAGCAGATCCTAGACACCATCAAGTGTTGGAAGAGTGACGTTCCGGACACTACGACGGACTGGATCGGCTTCTGCATTCTCCACGCCGTGTGCTGGCAAATTTGGCTCGAGAGGAATAGGCGTGTTTTCCAGGATGCTAGCAGAAGCGCCAAGGAGGTCTTTTGGATTGCTATCAGATCCACGGCGGATTGGCTAGTCGCGAAAGGCAAGATCAGCAGGATTCAGGTGATGGAGTGGCTCCGCCCCTTGAGGCTGAACTGACACAGGGGCATTTTTCGGTGGGGTTGTTGCCGTGGGTTCGTTCGCTGGCTGTTGTCGTGTTTGTCGGCTGCCTTTCAGGTGCTGGGCTAGTTGGAATCCTCTGGTATCCTTGTTCGGGTTCGGGTTGCTGGTGGCGGCCGGGTTGTTGACCGCGCCTCGCCCCTGTCTTCTTCTTCTCTCTGTCTGTTTTCCTCTGCTCTTCTCAGTGATGGTTGTGGTCGGATGGGGCTTTGATTCCCGTTAGTTTGACAGTTTGGTCTTGGTCTTGGTCCTTGTTTCGTGAGGGACTTTGCTCTCTGTGCGTGGCTGTCCTTTTCAGGCTGTCGGGTGTTTCTTTTTTTTTTTTTTTTTTTTTTTTTTTTTTTTTTTTTTTTTTTTTTTTTTTTTTCGTTTTCTTTTCTTTTCCGTGGGTGCTGCACCTCTGGTGCCGCTTTTTTCTTTCTGTATCTCGGACTGGTTCCGTTTTGGTTCTATTTTAATGCAATTCTCACCCTTATCAAAAAAAAAAAATGACCAGGAATGCCTTCACCATTAGTAGAAATCAATCAAGAAAGATCAATGGTTCTCTTACTAGCAATACTAACTAAAGCACCATCAGCACCCATCTGCCACTAACACAGTCATGACATTAGAACTGTGGTAAAAGGCAGATCAAGTTGTAATGTACTTAATAATGAACCAGTAAGCAGCAAGCTAAAACCCACTTTTGTTAAGGACTATTGCTCATAATTGCTTATCTCAGGTCAAAATTAGACAAAACAGTAGCCCCAGTATAGACAAACTTTCATATGCACTAGTGGTGTTTAACTCTAGTGCCAAAATACAACTAATCCTAATCCCACCAAGCGAGAGCTGTCATCATTGGGCAAATTCAGTCACAACCCAGAAGAAAAATTCAAATAAATTACACCTCTGTTCTAAACGTTTTATATTTCTCAATAACAACGGAAGCAAAACAGCAACAGCAGGAGAAGAAAAGGGCAGGGCTCTGATGAGCGAATCCAACACCAATCTGAAACAATGTAAGAGGTCCATGGTAAACATCCTCATCACCGAATCCTCAACGAGAAAGTAAATTAAGCCTGTGAGCTGAGAAATTATGCTTCTTCATCAATAATTCCCAGCTTATATCACTACCAAAACTTGAAGGAATGGGAAATTGGAAAAGAAATATGAAAACGATCTCCAGTTTCAAGGAATGGAATGAGAGGTAACATTGCTTAAGAATCCGGGAAAGGAAGAGCAGGGCTTGTTATTTCAACAAATTTCTGCCAGCTTTCAACTCCATGGAAACAGAAGGGTGTAATCAAAATGCTAGATAGCGGCTAGCTACCACACAACAATCAATCAAAGCCTCCCAGTAGAACCAACTAACGAGTGGCAAGGGCTTACTATCTGCTTGCGGGATACACAAAACGATCAATCAAAAGCTCCACAACCACAAAGAAACGAGCTCGTGGGATTCTCAAATAGCCACAGTGAAAAAACCCTGAACATCATTTTCAAACAATTTCACAGACAAAGAACGAAGATGGCACGACCAGTACCTTTCAAGGAATACCCAGCTGTTTCGGAAGTTCCCGATGGGGTAGAGAGTCAATTGAAGAAGGCAATAGGAGGGTGGAAGATAGAGCTGGAGGCCGATGATTTGATTGACTAACCAAAGCCCAGATCGACAGATCCCCAATCCTTAGATCTAAGATCAAGAACAGCTAGGAGTTCGAGCTGGTTGCGGTGTTTCAACCCAACGAGCAGTTCGAGCTGGTGCTGGGTTTCTCGGTTGAGGGACGACTTGGATTGGGACTCACGGGAGCCGCCGCCGCCACCGATTTTGGAGGGGTTTAGGCGCTTGATCGCGAGAGAGACGGTATCGTCGAGGATGAGCTTCTGGTAGCTTCCGTTGAAGCTGGAACCCAGAAGTGGAAGGAGTGAATTGGGGTGGATTTTGGGGGAGAAGACGACGATGGGGACTTTGAGGATTTGGGGTTGCAATATTACAGAAAATAAAAAGGAGAAAGGTGACATATATGAAAACAAAAGAAAGTTGGACAATCCATCCACGCCGACACCGGCCAGAAAGTCGGCTCTGAAATATTAAAAGGGAACCCACAGAGAGGAAAAGAGAAAGAGGGAGGAGGGTGACAGACGCATTGCCGAAAGCTTTACACCAATACTATCATTTCCCACTTTCACCACCCAACCCTTTTGGAGCTCTTGCCAAAAAATATTGAATCGTAGAAGAAAACAGTGGTCCGCATGTGAAGACGAAAATGCCACCAAAGGTCCAGTTTTTTTAACGCGAGGGAAAAGAATTGGATGTCTGTCAGTTACGATGTACAGCGAGGAGTTGTTCCCGCGAAAAAGTAACCGTCGCCCAACTGTTTTTCGTTCCTAACAAACTTCTCTCCGGGTGGAGAGAATGCACAGCCCTCTGTTCATTAAAGAGTGAAAATAGTGGATAGGAAAAAATTGGAAGGATTCAGAATTTTTTCATGTTCATAAGTTATTTTTATAACTAGTATATTAGAGTGATTATTTGGTGAAAAAAGTTATTGTAATAATTGTCCTCCTAAATTTTGGGTGAAAATAATTTATGCCTCTTATTGGATTTCTTTATGTTTTCAAAATTGAACACCATTTTTTCTTCCTTATTTCACTACTTTCAAATTTTCACTTCCTCAAATTTTGCTTCTCCTACTAATATTCTCTCTCTTTCGTAATCAAAGCGAACCTGAACAATTGAAAAGGGTAAAATCCAAACAACCACCCAGGAGTAGTCAGCAATGTTGTATTGTTCGAAACCAAACAATTGAAATTAGGGTTATTGAATTTGGCTGAGTGTCAAATTATGTTGCTCTTTTTAAAATGTTTGTGATACCGCCTCGTAGTGCACACGGTAGACTAGCAGCCGTCGGCTTCACGATAAAACAACCAATCTATTTGCTCTCGACTTGTGTGAAACCGGAGCTCTTTAAATCTCACTCTATTCGTGTTTCTACTCTCTCAATTGTGTATCTAAAGGCTCTGGGAGTCGGCTACTTTCACGAGCCAAAACTCCTCACATATACTCTCTTCGCGGGAAATAAGGTATGTTAATTACCTTCGTAATTAAAACGCGTTTTGGAAATAATTATCCTTCGTTGCATTTCCATTTTCATATAAGAAAAGGAATCAAATAATTAATTCTGAATTTCTCCAAAAGGTTACAAAATCAAGCCGACCAACCGATCAGACAAATGACGCTCGCGCATGTGTGGTTATGAGGCCATTTTGATCCTCGCTATTCACAAAAATGGGTCACCCCATGGGGTAGTAGCCCCGATAATTGTTGTATTCTTATTATAGCTCCAAAGTTTGGCCAAAAATAACCAGAGCTCTTCGGTCGGAAAAAATAAAGTTGTTGTAGTGACAGCAGAACCAATCAAGGCACTACTACTACGTCACTACTCTATGTCTATCTACCACCCATTTTACAGAACTGCACTGGTACAATCCAAAACCATCCTACAACAGCACACTAGTATTTACAAAGTAGGAATAAGATGAACTCCTCAATAATTGATCAAACTCTCCATTACCTAAGTTGTAAAGCTTTATATCCTCTCTGATCATTTCAGTTACCTCTTCTACATTTCTGGATGTGTTTTGAAAGACTTTGTAACACCCAGTGCAGTTAAAATCGCGCATTAAAACGTAAAAATTTACGTTTTTACGTATCCAGGCCACCAAAACGTTTCAGTTTCTATCTAAAGTCGCTTAGTCACAAAAATTGGTAAAAACATGGGTATAATCGGTAAAAACACTTAAAATCGGTAAAATCGCGATTCTGAAGCGTTTTTATACGATTTTGATCATCTCATAAAAATGTGCTAATTGGCCCAAAATGATGTAATTTTGGAGACATATCAACAAAAAAATAAAAAAGGAAAACATGATTCATCACTCGTTCTACAACTAGTGTCGAGATAGGGGCTTCACATAAGGTTGAAAAGACACCTAATGGTATTCTCAACAGTCGCTTACCTTCTATCAGTCTTCTCCCTTAATCTTCACATGTGGCTCTTACCTGGGTTACGATAAAAGTTTATGGATAATTGATCATATGTAATTATGTAAACTCAAACCAGCTTATGAGAATTTGGATTCTCAAGCTCGTTTACGGGTTACGATCTACGTTTATGAGCTTATTATTAAGATGTTATGAGTTTTTTCTACTTTTTAGACAACACAAATTAGTTTATGTGTCAGATATTACATTTTAATTATGAATTTCATGTAGTTATTCACTTATCTAAAATCTACACACTCACATTTTACATACTATATGTTGTACTTAACATATTTTAGTTATTTTAGAGGGTGCGTAAAAAACTTACGCTTTTACGCTTTGATTCTACGTTTTACGATTTTACCCATTTTCCACTTCTAGGTAGAATCGCGCTTTTAACTGCATTGGTAACACCTTTCACACCACATTGTAGCTATGTACCAACTCCACAGACACCCTACTAGAGCACCATTAGAGAAACCATAATGCGCCATATCACATACCCTTCCCAGCATTGCTTCCCAATCATTAGACCATACTCAGTCGGGAAATAAACAATTTAGAAATTCTCTGGCAAATAGATGGGATCGAGTTTCTTGACCTCCACTGCACATTTGACAACAATCAGAATTACTCCCTAGTTCTTTAGTTTATCCTTTGTGTTGATTATGTCAAGGATAACAAGCCAAGTAATAAATTTGTGCTTTGGAATCACATGCTTTCCCCACAACATCTTCCACCACAACTTCCTGTCTACTGTTGGCCTAATTGATTCCCAAATAGTCTTGATGGAGAATCTGTGTAGAGCCTTTCCCTCCCAACTGACTTCATTATTACAATCCACTGCTAGTCTATAACAAAACCATGATCCAGGTTTTAGTAGCTTTATCCACAAATAGGATCCTGCTTGTGTATGTGGTAAACTCCATAAATCTCTTCCCTCCAATCTATGCTTGTGGATCCATGCCACCCAAAAAGATCCACTTCTTTTCAGCAACATCCACATTCCACACCATTCTAGTTGCACAAGCAACATTCCAGGCCCCCTCATCCTTAGGTAAAGCAATGTGTTCCTAATCAACCTTAGCCCTCCCTATGCCTTCTCCATACCACAAAAAATCCGAGCATCTCTTTTGGATTTCCCGTATAATCTTCTTAGCCAGAACATAGACATTCATCCAATATTGTGTGAGTGTCATTAAAATAGTAGAGACCAACTGAATCTTACCCACATAGCTGAATTTAATTGCTCTCCAAGACCTAATTCGTCTTGTTATTCTATCTACAAGAAGACTGCAGTTTGCACTTGAGAGACCCCCGGATTGCAAAGCCTTCCCTCTTTGAATCCAGAATGTGACAGAGTCCTATCCTTCAGCGTTTGATTTAACCCTCCAAAAAAAACCTCACACTTCTGTGGGTTACACCTTAATCCTGAAAGAGTATAGAAGTCATCGAGAACTCTTCTCACACTTCCACGACAAAAGCATAACCCTCCGTAAAAATCAACAAATCGTCAGCAAAGTAGAGTTGGGTCAATCCTACTGCTTTGCATTGTGGATGGTAGGGAAGCTCTTTTGCATGTGTTGTTTTATCTATTAAGACAGACAAACATTTCATTGCAAGTGTAACGAGGTAGGGGAGAGAGGATCTCCCTGTCTCACCCCTTTTTTAGATGAAAAGTAGCCAAAGAGACCTCCCTGTAGTGTCACACTGAAAGTGGCAGATTTCAGGCCCTCAACTATCCATCTAATGAATTTCTCAGAGAATTTCATAGTCTTTATCACACCCAGTAGAAATCCCCAATGAACTCAATCAAATGCTTTCATGAGATCCACCTTCATTGCACATCAAAAGGTGATCCCCTTTCTATGATAGTTTTGGACTATTTCCTGAGTCATTAAGATATTATCCACTATTCTCCTTCCTTTAATGAAAGCAGATTGATTCTTCTTAATCAATCCAGGCAAGACTTTTTGTAACCTTTCAGCTAGAGCTAGGACTGAAAATTGGCCCGACCCGCCCCTGACCCTGTCCTGACCCGCCCCTGAAGGGTCAAGATGTATAACTGACCCGCCCCGACCCTGTTTCTTTCATGACCCTGTCTGACCCTTCAGGGTCGGGGCGGGTCAGGAAGGGTCGGGTCAGTGGGTCGACCCTAATAAATAGACTACTTTTCTAAAAATTACAATTTGATACCCGAATTTAATTTTTCTTACATTTTAGTACCTAAATTTTATTTTTTTACAAATAAGTCCCTAAAATTTGATGGTAAAATTACATTTTGGTACCCAAAATTTTAAATTTTTACAATTTAGTATCTAAACTTGTAAAATTTTACAAATAGGTCCAACATGTTTGTATGATGCTAAGGGTCATAGGGTCAAAAAGTGACCCGACCCTATCTGACCTTGACCCGACCCTAAACCGACCCGGCCCTAAATTGAGCCTATAAACAAACTGACCAGCCCGACCCTGAGGGTAGGGGCGGGTCGGGGCGGGTCAGTGGGTTTTAAGGGTCAAACTTACACCCCTAGCTAGAGCATTGGAAATGATCTTATACAAAACATTAATACAAGCTATAGGCCTGAATTTTGTCATTCTACTTGTTGTTTGTATCTTAGGAACTAGAGTAATGGAGGTGGAATTGATACATGGAGGCAAGACCCCTATTAAGAAGAACTCTCTAACAACTTCAGTTACCTCCTTCCCAATCACTGGCTAGCTTTGTTGAAAGAATTTTGTTGTCCAGCCATCAGCACCTAGGCTTTTGTTGGGATCCATGGCAAATAGGGCATCATGAATTTCTAGATCTGTCACTTCTCTGCACAATTCCCCTGAGGCCTCATCCACAAATTTATCAACAAGCTTTTCCAGAATATGTGGTACACTTTTTACGTCCTTGTTCTCCTCGCCAAATAATTTTCGATAAAACTCAATAGCAACTCCAGCAATGCTCTCAATATCTTGTACTTCCTCCCCATAATCAAAAACTAGTTTTCTCATTTGTCTCCTTACTTTCCTAATCTTCACTGATTCATGAAAAACTTTGTGTTGCTGTCACCCAAGGCCGGCCATTTAATTCTAGACTTTTGCTTAATGAAGCTTTCCTTTGCTCTTTGGTATTCGTTGTAAATCCTCCCAGCTTCTTTTGCTTCTGTATATAATTGCTGGCAGGGTTGCTCCAGCGCCTTCACTTGCACCAGTTTCATTTGTTGCCTAGCCTCCTCTGCTCTCTCTAAAATGATTGAGAAGTGTTCCTTATTGAGTTTCTTTATTTCAGGTTTCATCCACTTGAGCTTGTTCCTCACTTTATTAAATGCAGTCCCTCTTATCCCCTGGCCCCATGTCTGCTTCAGCAAATTCATATAAGTAGAATGCTCAAGCCACATGTCTAAACATCGAAAGGGTTTTGGAAACCTCTTGTCTATCACAGATGGTTTGATTAAATCTGGAAACCTCTTGTCTGTCACAGATGGTTTCGAGAAATCTGGAACTAAGAACTCCACTGTACAACTTTGATAAGAATCTATCCATTTTGTATTGACCATGACTCTATCAAGCTTCCAAGCAATAGGGTTTCCTTCTTGCTGATTTGCCCATGTAAAATAAGGACTCGAGGCTTTATGATCCATAATTTTCATAGAATTGAACCACTCCATGAATTGAACCATGCTATCTGGAATGACCAATTCATTTGATGCTACCCTGGGATCTAAAATCACATTAAAGTCCCCTGCAATTAGCCATAGGACACCTTGAACCTTCCAATGAGATAGGCTTCTCTAAGTTTCTGCTCTTTCCTTTTCTTCATTAGACTCATACACCACTATAAAGAAAAACTCTATTCTTGGTTTCATAGTTACCAAAGTATGAATGTAATTTTTCTCCTTGGTAAGAGTTATGATACTTATACCTTCTACCCAACCAATCCAGATCCTCCCCATATCACTGTTCTAATAATTGTCAATAAACTCAAAACTAAACAAAATTCTCCCTTGCTTTATTTACCTTTACTGGTTTCACTCTGGTTTCTAATAATGCAAATAATTCCACCATATAGCTTTTGATATATTGTAACACTGCAGCCTGTTTCGAGGGCTTAATGAAGTCCCTCGAGTTCTAGACTAACACACTCATCTAAAGAAATGATGAGCAGCTTTCGTTGCACGCACTGGATTTTTCTTACCCCTTCCTTGTTTCTGTTGGATCAAGAAGACAAGTCAAGTTAAGGGTTTTTGGGCTGAGACTTGTGTCTTATGGAGTGGGTCAATAACAAGTCCAGTTAGTGGTTAATAGAGTCCAGAACGTGGTTAGCTTTATGTTAGTAGTGTTTAAGTTGTTACTTGTTTTAAGGACTGTTGCTGTTAACAGCTCCTGGTTTTTAGCTTCTATTAGTTATACTTGATGTATTTAACCTCTACGTTGATCACTGGATAATCAGATTAAGTTTTTCCTTCTATTCGGTTTAACATAGTGGTATCAGAGCCTCATAGGAAAAACTCTAAAGTGATTCCGTGTTCCGGTGGCGGTGGCCGCCACAGCCACCTCCAGCCTTGTGTGTGAGAAATGGGGAGAGTAGGAGCAGGAATATTAGATGTTGAGAGTGAAGTTCAATGAGATTATTGGCGAGGGAGGCGGTGATAAGTGAACAAGAAATAGGAATAGAGAAGCGAGTAAACGATTGGTGAAACAGAGGTAGAGAGTGTGAATAGCAAAGAGAGGCAAACCATGGCTGACAGAGGTGACGCCGACAGAGCTGGTAGCGAGAGAGGCCGCCGTGGATTCGGGGGACGAGCAGGCAACCGAGGAAAGGGTCGTCGTCACGGTGGTTGTCGCGAGGAGGAGAAGTGGGTTCCGATGATCAAGCTCGTCTGTCCGGTGATTCGCAGCTTGGAGCAAATCTACCTCCACTCGCTTCCCATCAAGGAGTACCAGATAATAGACGCCCTCGTCGGCCCCGGCGTCCTGAAAGACCTGGTCACGACGATTAGCCCCATTCAGATTCAGACCCGCGCCGGACTGCGAACCCGATTCAAGGCCTTCTTTGTCGTCAGCGATGGAAACGGCTACGCCGGATTGGGTATCAAGTGTAGCAAAGAAGTCCCAATCGACGCCATAGTCTATGTCGGAGGACGGAGGCTTTTGGGAGCCAGTGGAGCCTGTTCTTATTAAAGTGTTATTTGGTACTGGGTTCGTGAAAATGATTCGGTTGTGGAGACATTCTTACCCGTTTCTTGGAAGGTTTGCTGTCAAGGGACATGAGGCAGACTGTTGCCGTTGGTGTGATCAAGGCTGTGGAGAAGAAGGACCCACCGGGTGCCAAGGTCACCAAGGCTACTGCTAAGAAGAACGGTTCATCGATGAACAGACGAGTATAATGCAGTATTTGCTGCATCTCATGGGTGGTCGATGACAACTGTGCTTCCATCAATTCAATCGCTACTGGGTTTCTGCTTTGTTCGGTTGATTTCAGAGGATTGAAGCCTGATTTGCGTGGAGAGAGAGTTGGGAGAAGATAAGTTCAACATCACAGAAGCTGTGGTCCAACAAGGGAAGCTGCTAGTCATTCATTGAGCTCGATTGTGATGAAACCACCCCAGTGAAAGCAATTAAGTGGTATGTTGAATCTTATTCTAGGGTCAGCTTGAATGATCAGTTTGTTCTGTGTTTGCATATGAAATTAGAACCGCAACTGCCACTCTCGAGTTACAAGCTTCCAGCTATAGACCAAGAAGTGTTTATATTTAACAAAGCTAGGCTTCAGAACAATTCCACATCACCATCTCAAGAGGAAGTGAATGTAGTCGAAGTAGCTTTAGTACTATAAGCTTTGCAGGGGCTTGCTTGGTTGATTTGGCTGTGGTAAATTGCAGCAACTCTCATGAACAGCCGGAGAAGAAGGTTATGGAATTTGTTCTCCTGCGGTGAACTGAAGCTTATTTCAATGGACTTCACTTCAGGGGAGGAAATACATATTTTGGTCTTACTTGTTGCTGCAGCACTTGCTAGTGCTACTCCGGATCAGCAGGGATGATGTTGGGTGAGAATCTGTACCCCCTGGTGTATTAATTGGAGCAAGATGTTGATGCTAAGGTGACAAAGATGCTTTTGGAGAAGGACCAGACTGAGGTTCTACACATGTTGGAGTCACCAAGAATTGCAGGCAAAGGTTGGTGATGCTATGGCCATGCTGGGGAGTGCTCAACAAGGCGGTACTGCTGATCTGCTGATCTGTTGTTCTTGTTGTCTTTAACTGATCAGTTGTCCTTGCTGTCTTTGAACGACAACCTTGTCTCTTGAAGCTATTGAAGCTATTGTGAGGTCGTCAGAGTGTGGTTGGAGTAGGTTTGGAGATGTGCATGCTATGAGACTAGACAGACTTCTGATGAGAGAGGAGAAGAAAGTGAAGTGGAAGAAGAACAGGAAAGACTGCTGGCTATATGAAGGGATCATTGGGAAGGTTATGAGTAAGTCGTTGGCAGATAAAGGGTATTATAAACAAGGAGTTGTGAGGAAGGTGATTGATATGTATGGGAAATTGGGGAGATTGAAATGATTGAGAGCAAGCATCGGCTAAGGGTTGATCAAGTGAACTTGGAACTGTGATTCCACAGGTTGGAGGTTTGGTGAAGATAGTGAATAGAGTTTATAGAGGGTCCAATGCGAGGCTTTTGGGAGTGGATACATACAACTTTTGGATTTTTCAAGGTATACTAGGAAGGTTATGTGTGAGATTGTAGCTTTAGTTCAATTGGAGACTTTCAGAGAAGTAGATGATGAGGAATGATGATTGGATTAAGGGAATCCATGGTTGTGCAAGGCTGCTCGGGGAACTGTTTAGGGAGATGTCAGCTAGACATACCTACGAGTGAAGTAGGTGGTGTAACCTGAGAGTGAATCAGGTTGGGTGTGAGTGTCAGCTAGACATACCTACGAGTGAAGTAGGTGGTGTAACCTGTGAGTGAAGCAGGTTTGGTTTCATTGTCATTCGACGAGTAGGCAGCAGAGTGGCTGGTCCTTATTCGGTGGGCGAATGGTTGGTTTAGAAGTGCTCGGTTGCTATGTCATGCAACAAGTAACCATTTGAGAGCCTTAAAATAACTCTTTGAGTTGTAGTTCTCGCTTATTGGTAGATGACATAAAAGGATAGATCTGAGAGGACAGGTCTAGAGAGTACAGCGAAGAAACCGGAAAAGAAAACAGTTGAGCATGCCTTGTCATGAAGAAGATAAAAGAAAGTGAAGTTGAACTGAAAGCCAATCTTATTGGAGGCCACCATCAAATGTGAGTGAAGCTTCTAACATACATAAAGAACTAGTTGCTGCTGCAGAATGATCATGTCCTGGTTTAAACTCAAACCTACCCGATTTGAGTTTAGGGGAGGATATGTTGGATCAAGAAGACAAGTCAAGTTAAGGGTTTTTGGGCTGAGACTTGTGTCTTATGGAGTGGGTCAATAACAAGTCCAGTTAGTGGTTAATAGAGTCCAGAACGTGGTTAGCTTTATGTTAGTAGTGTTTAAGTTGTTACTTGTTTTAAGGACTGTTGCTGTTAACAGCTCCTGGTTTTTAGCTTCTATTAGTTATACTTGATGTATTTAACCTCTACGTTGATCACTGGATAATCAGATTAAGTTTTTCCTTCTATTCGGTTTAACAGTTTCTTCTGGTGTCTCTCTGGAGGTTGACCTTCTGACTCTTCCTCTTCTTGCTCACTGAGCAAAGCAAATGCGTTTGCTTGCTGAATCGATGCTACTTGTCTCTCTATTTCCATTAGGGGAGTAATGCAATTGATCACCTAATCAAACTCTTCCGTAGTGGGAAGCTTAACTGGAGATAGTTCCATCCTTGACGGTTCTCCCACCTCCATAATTGTAGGAATAGCTGAACCCACCATAGCCTCAAGTTGAGGATCCACAATCAATGCTGCCTTTCCTTTGCTATGCTTTGTTCCATCGAGAGTTTTCCTTGCGATACTGCTATAAGTTTCTTCATAGCTTTGCCAATCTCATGTACCCCCCTCACACTCATATGTGGTTTGACTACCATACCTTCTTTCCCTATTCCTCTTGCCCAGCACAGTTGTGACCAAAGATATCGCAAGTTGCCCAAACCATAGGCAAGTTGCAGTAGACCACAAGGACACTAATCTCAACTCCTTCATCAGGTAACACACGAACTGAATCAGGAAACTTCCCTTTTACATCAAGATCAACGCAAATCTTTGCAAACCCCAACCTCTTTCCCTGCCTCGTTGCTTGATCCATACAAGGGGTATTATCGTTAAGAAATAAAAGGTTGTTCTTGTATACCTTTTGCAATACTTTGTCCACCAATGTGATATTTTGAGACTTCTTTTATACCTTTCAAAACTATTCATTCAGAGCCACTCCTAATCTAATGAACAAGTAAACGAAATTTTGAGAAGTTAAAGGTTTTTTTATCTTGTGAAATGGTATGGACAATCGTATTTGTAGTGTGATAAATTGTAGAGAAAGCATGTGCAAATATGGTTTGCGCGAGTGCAATTCTATAAGAAACTATATCATTCTAGAACGATCCCGCTCTTGAAACATACCAGCCGAGGCAACCTCATTAATAAGAGAAGTTAAAAGAGTATCATACACGGTCGAAAAATGCCCAACATCATGAAATTAAGATCGGATATCGAAATCCCTTTGTGTCAACCGAGTAATTAACTCGTATTTTTGTTTCCACTGTCGAGAGGAATTAGCTTGTGAATGAGTTTTACACAAGGGATCCCACATCTAAAAGACGATTTTAAACCGTCACAAACTAAGAGCAATGTTAACATCAATAGAAGCCAGCAACCAAGTAATCACTTGTGTGTTATTAACATCCCACGTAACAAGTTCCTTTTCATCAGTCTCAGCAGGTATATGTGCTTACTAATAAGGAATGTGTTAGAAATCGAACAAGAAATTAGGGTTACCAATTTAGCTTAGTCTCGGATTAGGTCATTCTTTTTAAGACATTCGTGACACCGCCTCGTATTACGCACAATAGATTATCAGTCGATCACCTTCCTGATAAAACAACCACTTTTTTGTTGCTCGACGGTTTTGTGCGAAAACCGGAGCTCCCTCTCGTGTTTCTGCTCTTCGAATTGTTTTTAGATGATATGAGATTGCTTTATTTATAGTAGCATAACCCCAAAATATTTCCTATTTCGTGAGTAATAAGTCACGTGTAATTAAAAAGATAATTACTCTTATAATTAAAATGTGTTCTAATAGGATAATTACACTGTTTATTAGTTATCCTTTATTATAGATTTCGAACCTTTTCAGATCGACAAAAGGTAGGCTAGCGCTACCCTCAAACAGGTGCGGAAATGAAATTCCCAAATTCTTCCCATCAAACTTGGCGGCGATGGAGTCTAATTTGACTATATCAATTATGAAGTAGATCATGCAACAAATACAAGGAGCCATAAACTCGGGAGCGGATCAGGTCAGTAACTTTTATGGTGAGTAACCATCAGTAACATGTCCACATCCGCATGACATCAGCATCCTCTCTCTCCTCGGAAGTCTTTTTATCTTTTCCCCTTTAATCTTTAACCTCGAAATGTTTTTAATTGACAACCCTTAGATCAAAGATTTTATAGGCCCACTTAGATCTAAAGGTCCAGATTTAGTTACTCATAGGTTAGTAACCAATGGTTACTGACCCTATCCTAAGGGCTCAAGATAGGGTGCATAACCATGGGTTATGCATCCATCAATAAACAAATCTGGACCCTTCATTTAGAAAATCCAGATATAAGGATGGAGAATTAAAGATCATTTTTATTTTCTCTAGCTTTCTTAATCGGCTCATATCTTTTTCGTTTTAACTCGGATTTTAATTTTTTTTGCACAGGTGGAACGAGTTCATCGTGCTCTCCAAAATGAGATCAATTTTAAATATTTTTTTAGAACAAAAAATTCTGGCCTCTCGGTACCAACTACATACCATATGGTATTTTTTTCATTTTTAATTCATTTTTGAAAACGTTTGCACAGAAGGGACGAGTTCATCATGATATATTGGATCTACAAATTTATGGGTGAACAAATTACAGGACCAAAAAATACCACACAATACCACCCTGGTACGGGGTGGTATTGTATGGTATCTTCTTCGTTTTTAATTTGTTTTTGAAAACGT